CTTTTTTTTTTTTTTTTTTTTCTCTTTTTTTTTTTGTCTGATGCAGAATCCCAGTAGCTAGGCAGCCTCCCTCTTTTCTTTCCTTCCTTCCTTCCTTCTACTCCTTCGGTATGTAGGAAGGGAGAGACATCAATGGAAATGCTGAAATACGCGTAGATGGACTTTCAAATGCATTTTTTCGTGAAAGAGGAAGATAAATCCCAGTTGCCAGTGCACTGACTTTTTTGTTGCTGTTGCATTGCATGGTAAAAATGGGGTTCACTCACTCCAGCTAAATCCTTGGAGCACTGCAGAGAGTTGCTACAGTGAAGGACTTCTCATATTTTTTTGCATCAGAGGAGCTACGTTGATGTTAACCATTTTTTTGTAAGATGGAGAACGAAATATTCACACCCCTTTTGGAGCAGTTCATGTCTAGCCCTCTTGTCACCTGGGTAAGCATTCATTTTTCCTAGCACGCTATTCATTTATTTGCTCATTGTTTGAAGATAAATGCCTTGCGGCAGAGAATAAGGTGGAGTTAGTGTCACGGTGATGATGATTATGTTTTAGGTTAAGACATTTGGACCGTTAGCTGGAGGAAATGGGACCAACCTGGAAGAATATGTGGCGCTAGTGGATGGCGTGTTTCTGAACGAAGTCATGCTGCAAATGTGAGTGTGTGCAAGTTGTGGCTTGGGCTTTTTTTTTTTTTTTTTGCTGTTGCCTTGTTGCTCTCGTATGCTTTGCTTGCTTATGAAGACTTTTTTCCTCCACATACTGACTTGGGTAAATTTATTTTGTGCTTGAGGTAGTCATGTGGTTAGTTAAGAGGAGACTTTGGAGCACAGCAGATACTCTTTACAGTTTAATGTTTGAGTGATGCATTTACAGGATGTATAGTGTAATACAGGCTGAATCACAGTATGTAGAACTTACTGGAAAATTAGATGACTGTAAATAGTTACCCAGATTTCCACTGAGAAGGATAAAGGTTCGTTCTACTGGAAGTCATGTTCATAAACAAGATTTTTGATAAATTTGCATGGCTAATAACCTTCTAATACATATCTTAGTTCACGTGACAGACAACTTAAGGATCATATGCGAGTCACATAATGTTGTTTCCTGAGTAAATGGACCGTCCTTTAACTCCTTCTGCTTTACTTCTCACAGTTCCATATTAGTGCAGATAGCAGTTGTGCAGTAAAACTGATATTTTAATCAAGAGTATAGAATGTTTCCCGGCAGTGACCCACGGAGGAAACATTTCACACCATTTTGTAAATTGTTTATGGAAAACTGTGATTGATTGAAAAATTTCCTTATAACTGTAGCAACTTTTTGTAATCATAGTTTTGACTGGAATGTTGCCTGCTGCTGTAATGCTAGAGAGTAACGCTTTTGTCAAGTGTCTAGTCATATAATCATAAAAATGTTACCAGTGGAAAAAATTTCTCCATGCCTTTTTTCCCAATATTTTAAGTCGTTGCAGAGAAATACATCTCTTCTTTGTATAGGTATGAAAAATTAAGCTAATGGATGGCTGGATAGATACATAAGTGGGTGAGCAGCTTGTGTTGACAGCTGTTCCTCAGGAACACTGCTCAGTGATGGGTATCCTTTTACTCTGTCTATAGTTTTTAGTCATATTTAGCACTTTAAAAGTTTTTGCTGTTGGCATTCAGCTTGTATAATCTATGTAAAAAGATCTGCACGTTACTACATACAAGTTTGAATTCGCATCCTTTGAGAACCATTATTTGTCACCTACTTCTGTGCAACTAAGATTCCGAGTATTCACTTTTGTAATACTGAGAAACCTGGAAAACTTTGTGGAATTGAACTTTCTAAGAAAAATCTTGAGTGTATTTCTGGCCTATTTTAGTAAAAATTTTAAGTGATGCATTCGCTGAAGCATTCTATTTTAATTTCACACTTTGTTTTTTTTTTTTCTTGGACTACATATAAATTAAGTAAATTGTCAGTTATGACCACATATTTAACTTTTAAAGCTTCTATTTGGTAAAAACGTTTGACAGTCAGAAGGCAAATTTAGTACTGGAAATGTAACAAGGTGATTTTGAAGAATATAGTCTTGAAATTAAACTTCATCAGTATTTTTTTGGAATACTAGGACTATAAATTGGTAACCGATGTGGGATACATGTATGTAAAATGGAGAGCTACCAAGAGGGAACATTCCCATGCTTAAGACATTGTGCATTGAAATTGGCTTTGACTTTGTGCATCTTTGACCCCATACCATGATGACTGTGGTTTACTTGGGAGGAGTTGTGTGCGTACGTAAAAAAAAAAAACCAAAAACACATGGGAGATGTAAACTTAAAATAGTTTGGTAGTCAGAACAGTTTAAAACTACCTTAAACTAGAGATGCGTGTAAAAGGACTGGCATACAGATAAAATTCATGTTACAAATCTGTAACTACATTAGAAGGTGTATTTTATTTAAAATACATTTTTGAGAGATTTAAATCTATTACAATTGATTACTACTTAGAATTGGAAGTTTCCAGAACTGTATTGCTATTTTCGGGGGAGGTGTGTGGGGTGTGTTTTGGGTTTTTTGCCAGGCTTGAAAGAGGGGAAAAAATGTTTCATGTTTTGCAAACAGATTCCCTCTGGTGAAGTCACTGTGGAAACCTGTGTCAACTTCTAGTCCTGTTCACTTTGAATATCCACCTATTAAACATGTCTTCATTTGCAAAAACATTTAAATGATGCAGCTCTTACTAATCATCAATATAACTTACTTTCAGTATTTTCCATTTTATTAGTATTTCTCTTTTTTCCTTGCAGTCTTAACTACCATATGTTGAGGAAATGTGGCAGAAAAATTTGTATCAGGTGGCTTCAAAAGCAAAATATTTTTCTTCAGAATGTTGGGGGTTTTGGTGGTTTGTGGGGTTTTGGGGGTTTTTTGTTTGTTTGTTTGTTTGTTTAAATCTCTCACTGACTTCCTTCACATGAGAACTAGAGATCCATGGTTAGGAGCTATGGCACTCTTAGAAGCTCTTGCAGAAGTCGCCAGGAGTGCCGCTGTAGAAATATGTGGAAAGCACCACTAGAAGTTGTTTTTACATGAGTTAAGTTATATGGTGCTTACTCTTTAGACTAGTTTTGAGATATTTAAGACTGCTAATGTTTTGCTGTGAGAACACAGCTAGTGTGTACCTGTCAGCTGAGGCCTTTGTTACGTTGTGGTGGTGGTGCAGGTCGATTCCTGTGGTTGGAAAGCCATTTAGATGCTTTAAAGGGCGTTAAAGGCATGAACAAGAGGAGGCTGTTAGAGGTGCTGTGGTTCTGCTTTATTTATACTTCAATACTTTATTTTTGCCAAATGTTGAAAAAAAAAGAGTTCTGTGACCATAAGAGTGAGTGCTAATATTGGATTAGGCATGGTTTGTAAACAGTTACACAATCAAAAAAAGTGGCTGTGTTACTCAGAGAGGGTTTTTGTTCAGTTAAAAGAGAGTTAATCCTGCCCTCCGTCAGCTGTGAGTGAGAGTTTGTTAGTATGACATATGCTTCTCCTTGTCTAGACCAAATTTATTTTCAACAATTACAATGATTCAGTCAGAGGAAATAGATGTCAGCATTGGAGTAGTTGTAGAATAATGGTACTGAGATGGTTGGGTTTTACCAACATTGAGTTTATCAGTATTGCATACATGAGGGAGAATAATTCATTATACTCCTATGTCGTTAGACTTTTTGGATGTTTCAGTACATTTGAAAATCACACAAATTCTGTTCAGTGTCCAGTTACATCTGAAGCGCTCTTCCCTTGCTGGAGATGCTGCAGGCTGATTTTTTTTTTTTTTTTAAATTTATTTTTAATTAAGGAGACTTTCAGCATTAAAATATTAGCTCCTAACTTCAGAGAATGTCTCTCATTTCCTGTTTAAATTTAGGTCCAGTTCTTCAGCAGTATTCAGTTACCTACCTTCTGCTGGGATCAGTCAGTATCTGATGCCTCGGGATAGAAACCCATCTGTCTTTCTAAATCGGAGCCTTTTTCTTTGTGTTCTTTGATACAGAAAGGGGTCATGCTTCTTGGAAATAAATCAGAAACCAAGAGATCACTGCAGTGGTGTTCTGCCATGGCAGGGAGGTGGAGGAACATACCAAGAATACTTCATACCTTTACTGGACCTCTATAGTAATGCTTCTAACATTATGAAGTCCTCATATACTTGAGTAAAATATGTTGGTATACTACTGAAATAAATGAAACAGTATAATTCAAGGGATTAGTCACCTGCTGCACATCTAGGTGCAATTACAGTAAAATAATACTTAGTTCTGCTAAAGATATTTTTTCCAGAACCTAACAACTTTTTTTTGGGGGGGGGGTCTTGGTACTGTAACTTTTATATACTCTTCTGATCCAAGAAGATCAAGGTATTCTTGCAGAAACAGAGAGTGTTTTTTATTTTAATTTCTGATAGGTCTTGTTCTCTGATACTTGTTAATTGAATTCCAGTAGGATTGTGTAAGAAGTGCTGGAACTCTTGAAGTACAAACTGTGGTTCCCAAACTGACAAGAGTCTTACTAGTTCCTTTGAATAAAAATAGGCAGCTGCAAGTAATTACAAGATTGAGACTTTCATTACATTTAGCACCACCATTAATATTTGGTCAAGTAACAAAGACTTGAAACTGTATTTTAGTTTTAATGGGTTTATTTTACTGTGCTTTCTATTTGTGGCAACGGATGGGTTTTAAAGGAACTATTGGACAAACTGTATGCAGAATTGGTACCATACAGAACCAGAGTCTGAAACTGTGAATGTAATCCTCTGTCTGGAGAACCCATCTGCTTTCGTCACTGTATTCTGTTCATAACTTTTCTCTGAATTGACTGTATCAGTCGATACTATCCCTACCAGTTGTTGCATCCAGACATGCTGAAAACTACTGGAAAGGATGAAGTATTTTATTAATCCCCTGGTTTTCTCCCTTTTGCTGTTCTGGTTTTCACTGACTGGATCCACATCAGGCCTTTCATGCCCATAGAATTTTCCAGGCGGGCTGGCTGACTGTTTCCTTCCACCACTCTGCTGGTGTGTGCCTAGAATGTGTAGACTGCTTCATTGACTCCTTTTCTGAGCTCTTAGTCTTTAGTTGTATGCTTTTTTTTTTTTTTTTCCAAACAGTTGAGCTTGCCAGCCCATACTTCTGGCTTGCCTATATCTTCCCCTGAAAACTGGACTCCATCTCTAGTGCCTGAGCCAGCTGCCTGGCTCTGTGAAAGAGTGCAGGAACACGCACTCCAATCCAATTAACTCTTTCTTGTGAAAAAGACCAAATACCAAGAGGCAGCCAGGTTCTGGCTGGGAAGGGAAATGGGAAAAAAAAGTTTTGGGGAAAATTAAATTGGTGAGTTAAAGCAGTTATTTTAGAGAAGTCGTCAAATATCATTAAGCCTGCACCTTTCTCACTTTCTTGAAGCAAATGGATTTGATTCACACTTTTCAGACGTGCTCTGTCAGGCTTCCACTAATGCGAGGTGGATGTCACTCCAGTAGTTTGAGAGATACTGCTCTTAAGAGTGGCTCTGCAGTAGTAGAGCCTAGGTTTTTCTGAAGGAAAGCTGGATTTATAAATACTTGGGTTTTCTGTAAAGAAGCAAATTTTATAACAAATGGT